CGAATACATTGATATATACTTATTGCAAGAAGGTACCATTATATCCAATCACATTTTTCAGTGACGTACATTAAATAATAAACCGTGTCTTATCCGGTCCATTCTCCAATTTTTCACACCTGTACTGTCCCACCCTAGTTAAAGAAAAGACACAAATAGTATCACTATAAAGCATTAAAATATTGATTAATAGTATTTAAACATAGTTGATTTCATAATGCTACACGTCGGCATGACCAGCGTACAGTGCAGACGTTCTTTTGTTTCACCCGTGCTGCCATGGCAAATATAAAGGCCTGCTCTTGAAATGTAATCCAATCGGCGTTGAAAGCAATTATTGGTTTGCCAGGACAAACACCTACGCGAAAATCGCAGTAAAACAAACAGACCTTCGTCATCATGGATAACCGCGAACCTCACTAACCGTGTGAAAACATGTTTTCCAGTCTCCGTTGTGTTTAGCATAATTCGCAACTGAGTCGACCTTTCACTGATATTGATCCGCATAGGTTTAATACAATGATCGTCGACAATTAGCCTCCATGAAAACCGAGTAGTATGGAACTCAAGAGCTCTTAGGGGAAAAGAAAACCTCACTGAAGATAACGCAAACCACCTTCACAAATACATGAATTTTACCACAGTCCCTCTATAGATTGAGGGACTGTGATTTTACTTTCTGTGATAAGACAAAATAGAAATAGGGGGGGTGGCGTTTATTTGGCCTGCGTGACCTGTAAAGTTGGTAAATAGAAGAGAAACGAGAAAAGTATTAGTTGTTCTCATTGAAAAGTTTGCTTGAGATTAAACATGGCGGACAATAGGAGACGTGGTGTAGAACAGTACAGAAAAGTATAAACTGTAATGCAAGGAGTATGCTTCTAGAAACAACTCCTGAAATGGTTCTCGTCTTACAGTCAAATCTATCAACCACGGCCGCGGTTTAAGAACCGTTTCCTGCCGTCGCTGTTTACATCTTAGATCGGGGTTACTTGAGTTACAGTCGCCGAAAAATAGCCTCTTCTTTTCTGCAATCCAACCATGGGAGAGTCTTATAATAAGCGGGCACGTCAAGCGCATTAGGTTTTAGTTGCGAAGCATAGCGGAAAGGGCCATTCCTCGCTTGGTCGCAGAACAACACTGGGAATTATATTTTCGCATCGTTGTAGTGTTTGCAAAATGCTACTGTAAAGCCCGAATATTCAATTGGCGAGCAATTGCGTGTGAATGGGATACAAACTCGGGTCAATAAAATGTACAGGAGGAAATACAACAAACCGGTTGGTCTCAACTGTTTTTTTCCAAACACTCCCATTGGATTTGTACGCACAGACTGTGTAAACTGGACGGGGAAAGAACTAACGTTTGCAAAATAAACCTTGTTTCTTTGTACCGTCAAAAAAGCAAACGGTCACCCCTTTTCCAAACAAGCTGTGATGAATTCGTTTGTTCTCCGTACTTCAAATGTATTTGACTGACAGGTCTGCCACAATACGCAATTAAGAAAAATACTGTGGGCGGAAATATTGACTACAATTAATAACACAGTTGTCATATCAACTTGAATTTAAATTATTTCAACGTGTATATTTCATTACGTTATATTGGTGTCTATTTTAAACTTCAGTAGAATATATTCGTCAAACAAGATCGACAGTTTTTCTGGCTATTGAGGCAATGTAAATTGGCAGATTCCGATGTTAAATAACTCTCCATTTTTGGGGTCGATTACATAATTTCACGATGATAGTGGTGGAACACTCATATACTAGTAGTTAAGGCAACACAAGTATGACGTCACATTTCGGTAATACTGTCCGCAGATGGGTCTGAAAATGAAATCAATCATATGCGAAGCATAAAAATATATATTTCAATTTCTAGTTAATATCGTTAGTCATTCACCTGGAATTAACCGGGTGGAATTGCATACCGGCACAGATGGATCCGGTATGCTGTTTCACTTTGATCATAGCCAGAAATGTGTCGTGGCTCATTTTCAAAGCATACGATGTATTTTAACTGTTGCGTGAGATGCACTGTTGACTTTACGTACCGGTCGACTATTGGCGGCCAGCGTAGCCTATTAGTACTAGTACACGCTCAATTGTTTGCAATGGACAACTCGCGTTTGTTTTAATCGGAAAAACGCCTCTATAGGTACACCATAGCTTGTTATTTTCAACAAAAGTTAATTTATCGTCATATGCAATCACTTCATCACGTGATATATACGAGTTTACCTCATTTTCTAGTTTAGATTTTTACTAAAACCAAATATACTTATTTTTAATCTACTACAAAATACAACAATCACCGGTTTTATATTATTTATTTGTATACATACGCCACATATATCGCGCATGCGCAATAACATCTATATTGAACTACTGGAGCACCCCATCATCTGTTTTAGACTTGCATACAGTCTTCTGTTTATTTTTTTGTGTTACTTTTTATAATATGAAATATGGGGGTATGGGAGTCTATAAATGGCGAAACAAACAAGAAAACCTTGTAACTCGGTTTTCGCCATTTACACACTCCCTTGATATTTTATTTTATTGAAAAAAAACACAGACTTTGTGCAAATCTACATCCGTTCATATTACAGACTAAACATTGCTTACCGAAAGCCAAACTTTCAACTATCCCATAATTTCACATTTTAAGGATCGCCAATACTAGTAGTTAAACTCTGCGTTTTACAAAGTGTGGTAACCACTTGGGTATTGGTGAACTTGAATGGTGAAGTAGTTCAATGTTTGTTCGTCCATTTATCTTCTCTACCCGAAGTTGTTCGTCTTTTCTGTTCTATATCAACACTTGCAATTCCCATACACACAGAAATCAGATTATCCAATATTGCAAGAATAAATGAATAAAATGCACCCCATGTTCATAACTTGGTGAAGATCGGCAAGTTTTCTGAGAGATACTTCGAAATTCTCATTTTACAAATTAAGCTTTTTTAGCCTTCACCTATGAATGATTTCCCAGGTGTACGATTTCCTGACTTAATTGACAGGCGTCGAAAAACTAGTACACATTGTTCGCGAAAGATGTCTCCAAACTTTAGTGTTTATACTGCCGCTTTTAATTACATTTGTTTGTACTTGCAGCTTTGCTGTTGACAAATCGATTAGTTTCATTTGTCACGTGATTTCTTTAAAAAAAAAATAGGGTTGCTGCGAAATACAGTGGCAGAAGCTGTACGGGGAAACTGCTGAAGAAAGTTACACTACATATTTTCATAATTCTACCACGTGACTTTACGTCATATTTGGTGATGGTGTTGATACAAATATTGTGTGACTGTCAGTTGTAAAATGTATCTGTCCTGCTTTCTCAAACTATGGCACTGAGTAGAAATGTTCCCGTCTCCCACATTCGTCTTCTTTTCGATTGTAAAACATACGAGTTTATGTTTCCATTTATGTCAACTATGACCATTGCTCAAACAAACTCCAAGTTGTGTACATTCGGCTTGCCTACTTATAACGTGAACACGCACTGTTGTTTGTGGGCATTCTTCCCCGTGATTTCCCCTTAAGCATAATGCCCAAACATCAAAAAAGGAATTCAAGAGAACAAAGGCGAATGCTTAATAATGTTTTCCCTAACGCCCGTCAACTGCATCCACCTTTTCATAACCCCACCTTGTTGTTTAACTAGCCCATCCATTCAACGACTCCACCGGACAAAGCGTCTAACAAAGGGAGGCTACCCCGATGAAGGGACTAATAAACACCGATGAAATCAACATACTGAGCATATTATTTATTGTTGATGATGTTTGTTTTTTTATAAACGCTGGTCACAGAAACAATATTATTGACTCCAGGGTTCGGTTAAATCGGTATTTACACGAAAGGTAGAACTTCATATCGGTTTTGTTGCGATCGTCCGGGATCACTTCTACCTGTGTATGCCTAACAATGATGGCTGAGTCTTCCCACCCTCCCTGTCTACTCCTTCGAATTGAAGTCAAATAAACGGGTGTTGTTGTTCACGGGAAAATTAAACATTGTCTTGGAAGACTGCTAACAACACTTCGTATTCTCGGCTCAGTAACAGACAAATTACTTTTAATTTGATAAATGAAATATATTAAGCTTACGTCCATGCAGATAAGTTTCCACTGGGAATTGCTTTTGATAAATATAACCTAGTCACGGTGGCTGGCAATTACTATTGAATTAATTGGACAAATCATAAAAAGAAATGTCGAAATCAGTGAATTATTTTTGTTATTCATGGAAATAAGGATATAGTCGAAAATTGGGTGACTATTCTCCTGGATTCGACGAAAGTTTGGGCTTAGATACTTTCTTGCGACTCCCTTTTTTCCCAGGTTTGGTGATAAATCGATGTAACATCGAAATACATTTTCAGGTATGACTTTTATGACCTCTAAAGGTAACACATCCTGGTACTTTCGTTGGTATAAAACACGAGTTTATTTTATTGGTATTTCGGCACAAGTTCCGAGTCTCTTGTCTGTTTCAGCTGCTTTGGTAAAATGTTTCTCATTCGAAACAAAATGCACGTTAAAATACCCCCAATTACGTATGCTTGTGATGCTGTCATACCAACAAAATTACCAGGATGTGTTATCTTTAATGGTCATGAAAGTAGCGCCCAATGATGTACTGATTGTCATATAGTTCGATTTTACTCAGTACCAAAGAAAAGTCAACCGAAACGATATTCGAAATGTTGACAGGTTCCCATATTCTCTAGCTTAATAATGACATATCGTTTGGAAGATTCAAAGTTGGCTTCCAGCAGTACTATTGTCGCATGCGGAAAACATTTCTGTCACATTTTTTTCAAGATGGAATATAAATAATCAACCTTGACATTGTGTCAAATCGACGCCACTCAACAATCATGTACCAGTTGTAGGGCAGTCCGACTAATAACACCATCCGCCCATAACGAGGCTCAGGCTGATCATCCTTGACAAGAAGCGTAAATTAATAAACACTCAAGACAAATTACTTTAACAAAAACTTTGCAAATTATTTATTTTGTTCAAGTCCAACTTTGACAATGATATATTTCTCTTGTTTCACTTAAAAGTACAGACCTCACTGAAGAGAAAAACAAATTCGGTGACAATGTCTTACAGAAAGTTTCACTTGTATCACGTGACCGAGTTCCTGTAACATAATCAGAATTATAACAATATTTCCAATTCCGTGCCTGACATGACGTCAACTTAAATATTATAAAAGCATGTTCTGAAAAAGGTAGATATCGCAATGATAATACTATTCATAACATAATTTTCACATCCAAGGTACAGTATTCACCATTTTGATAATAAAAACTAAGTACATGTTAGCTTCATATGTGTACAGTTGTGAAATAGTTCAGCCTAAAATTATATTCCAAATTCAAAAAGGCAATCAAAAGTGATTATTTTGGTTAGTTAACGCAAGTTAAACCCATTCATCAAGTTCATTCGATGGTTCGTTCGTTCGTTTGTTCACTCATCCATTTCTTCTTCAAGTTCCCTACTTCCTACCCCCCCCCCACCCATTCATTCAGAACAGCAATTACCGCCAAGAAAACCCAGTAATATTGAATATCTAAAACTAAAAAAAATGTGTATACACGTAGTCTACAAGTATACACAGACACTTTCCACCCGTGGTGGTATTTTACAATAAATCTTGAAATAACAGAAATTGACATTATTTAGAAATATATTACAAACACAGTGTTTGTCCTCACAGTTCCGTCATAAACACCGTTAAGTTTTACTAGAGGACTATAATAAACAAGGCAATCGTCCTTCATTGGCCGACCTTTCGTTCAGTGCCCAGGGCTTAACCCCGTAAGGGAGGGAAACCATGTGTGCCGTAGGACTCGGATGAGGCAATGACGCTACATCTAATGGCGTTGGATATTGGGTGAAGTAGTATGGTAGGGAGTACGGCGAATACCTAATTGGGATCAGATGTTGGTACGCTGTGCTCGTCATCAAATTCGAATACGCCGTATGCGACATTGGAGCGGGTAGGGCGGACGATGAGGGGTGTGAATGCGGCCTCGATGAGATTGGGTACGAACATTCTCGGCGTGAAACGTTCGACACGTCAAATCTAGGGTACACTCTACCAATGTCCAAGTTATCAGGTGCGTTAATTCTATCGGCTATGCTGGCTAATTTTATCAGTTTTTCGCAGTTGCTGGTTTGTCCGTTGATAATCCCCTGCCTGCTGGTAAACATCGTACCGGCTTCATCAACTGGCTCAACTTTGATTGTCCGGTTGAGTAAGTGAGGGTTATTGTCCGAAATAAAATTTCCCCTCTCAGATTCCTTCGTATCGTAGTCATTGTAACCCCTTCTTTCCGGTTTCATGATATTTTCAATAGTGAAGGAAATACTACTACTCTGGCATACATGTTGGTTGCGGGTCGATGATAACGAATGTCCGTGTCCTGTTACGTACTGCCCGTGTTTGGCTTCCCCAGTCTTGTTGCGATATCCGTCCTTGTGGCTCTCAGTGTCGGATACATCCTCGGAATCAGAAGACGAACCATCTCCACTGCAATCGTTTAACTCCGTATCGGTAATCACTCGATCACCGTCAAGAATATCGTGCTCAATTTCGGAAGACTTCTTGTCAGTGTTACCGGTAATCGTACCAGGTGTTAAAAAGCTCATGTTCTCCTCACCTGGCATGGTTGTTGGGGATTCTGCATCTTCTTTCACGGAGCTAGCTTCGCAACTTGCGATGCGTTCAGCCCGCTGATCTACGCATTTCGTGCTTTTCTCAGTCCCCCGTTCAACACTTTTCAGAAAAGATTTTGGTCGCCGCTTACGACGACGAAAGTTCCCGTTTTCGAACATCTCTTCACAGTCGGGCGCCAGTGACCAGTAATTTCCTTTTCCCGGCTTCCCTTTCTCTCTGGGAACCTTGACGAAACAGTCATTGAGGCTGAGGTTGTGACGTATCGAGTTCTGCCACCCTTGCTTATTATCATGGTAGTACGGGAAACGTTCCATAATAAACTGATATATTCCGTTCAAAGTTGTCTTCTGATCCGGAGCGCTGCGAATAGCCATGGCGATCAGCGCGATGTAAGAGTACGGTGGTTTCTGTGGCTGCTCTCGGCGCTCCAGGACATTTAGCGCAAGAGGACTGTACGTGCTGTCTCTATGCGTGAAATAGCAACCGGTGTGGTGATGGGTGAGGTAGCTCAAATGTCCCTGAGAGTGTGGGGCGAAGCGTCCCGGGTACAGACCGCCCATGGATGCCATGGCATTAACAGTAATGTTCCTTTTTGAGCAATCACCTTGACAGCAGGTGTATCGTAGCAGGAAGGCACCGTTACGTTTTCGCACCTGCTAAAACCGATCTGTTCCTCTCCTCCGGTAATGGTGACCGACAGAGCAGCAACGGATACTTGACTCACAGCTGTCGACTCGAACTGGCTCTTGGGGGACTGTCCGATAGTCGGTGTTGTTCGTGCGTCTTGTATGCCACTTTGTTTTAAAGTTGTTGAATGTTGTTGTATTTAGGGTTAGGTGAGCCATCACACAAGTGTATATCTGCAACATTGGGTAAACAGTGATTTGTGCTAGTGCCCACCCACACGTCTTGACAATGGCACATTACGACATATTAACACGTGTCGAACGAGTTTCCACCAATCGCTATCCGCCATCGGGGAAAAGTTTGTTTATAAAATCCAAACACCAATTAAAGCGGCCCACCCAAGCCGCTTTCACTACTGTTTATTTTGAATTTTTCTGAAGAGAAACTGACCACCCATTTTGGTAAACACTCGTATTGTGTGAAAAATGGCACAGGATCGTGTGTCGGTGGCTGCCATTGGACGACTTCGCCATTTCGACAAAACTTCCAACGTGTTAGTGGAAGATTGACGCAAACGTATACAATCGTTACAGAGGCTTTTAAAACATCACATCGAGAGCGAGGCCAAGGTACACATTGCAATGTACACATGTCAGACAGAGCTTCGACTAACCAAACTGGTGGCGCTGAATGTCCTGAAGACGCGTGATCACCGATCCCCATCACCGAGGCGAAATTCCGTGTTCGTCTTTATTCGTCGCAGTCGCCTGCTCAACATACGACAAAGAATCGTTACAATCCTCCTCGACGTCCGTATGGAACCCAGTTTACCCCGCACAAAATCCCCGCACAAGCTATCATCAGTCGCACCAGTGACCATGAATAGACCGCTAAAATTATATTTACCTTACCGCTGTGAACTAGAGTATCATTTGTAGGTTTTTCAAGTCGACCAGAACCGATTGTTTTCCATGAGATTGCTCCCTTACTAACAGTACACATCACGGTAATTTTCCAATTTTCCATTTATCCCTTCATCCGGCGCTTTAATTGGATTTAGGTCTGTCAGCTCTTGCCAATTTCAACGATCCCATGTAATCACCAATTCCTGGATATGTCCTCCAAATTATTGACAGCATGTAATACCAGATCGAGGCCGTCAAAATCGCATGCCCCTTGTCCCCCTCTATAGACAACGAAATCGCATTGTTATTTTTTGTTGTTCGGTCGTTTTTTGCATGGGCCTGCTTACCTATCGCCAAGATCACGGAACGAAACGAACACGTTTGCTTTTCGGCCAAATCCACGGAACGTATAAAATATGTTTACAGCATGATAATATATGAACGTTGCAGACAACGCAAGTAGAATATTAATCAACCAAATTTCCATTTTGAAATTCTTCTTTGTCATAAAACTTTTCACGGGAATACAAGCGTGGGGTCCAGAATTAAATATTTATCACGATTATATTGTATCAGCTCCTACAATTTAGTCTTAAAAAATCTATTTAATTATTCATGGCACGAGTCGGACTTATTCAATGTTCAAACTTTGTCAAAATTTCAATGTTGCCTGTGAGTTGACAGGAGGAAACACTATTACCAACTGCCGTAAACAGTTCACATTTATACGACAATGTCATCTCAAATCGGGTCATCCGATAGAAATACTATTTTATCTAAATGCAGGTTTTGTTGTTCCAAGTCCATTGACTCTTGACCTTTCTCTAATGTGTCTTCAACTTCAGCGCCAATTTAAGGGTACACGAGTTGCAGACTAGGCCTCGCTTGGAAGATGAAATTTGCCGTCAATCGTGTCTGCCATCTATCCTGGCGAGCAGCTGATACGCAACCCCCGTTAAAACTTTTTTTTTCGTACTGTTTTTTTTTCTTTTCAAATGCTCCCCTCAGCACTTCATTTTTTAAAGGCAATACATGTAATTGACTTTTGCTTGACTCCTCTCCATTCTTATGTTTTGCTAAACGATATAAGCCTATAACGGCTCCCAGAGTATTGTTAACCGATCTCTTTGTCTGAACTCGTCACGGATATACTAAAAGTGGATTTTATTTTTTCCAACTCGATACGCTGTGTTTACGGGTTACAAGTTTTTTTTTAAACACACCGTTGTAGTATGCCCTTCAAGTTCAGCTCGGTGACAATACTTGGCATAACTTCAACAGCCCTGCTTGTCGAGGTATTCCCACAATCTCGCTCCACGTGTTTGATGGGGGATATTCCGAATACCTGCCGGTACTTGATGTCTTGCAATTTTATTATTGTACGTGGTAAAGGTCCGACTCAGTATTAAGACATGTGTATGGAATGGCTGCATTGAATTACGCTCTATTTAAAGTGATTATGCCACCCGCTTGATATATGGCATCGTAAAAAAAATCAACACCACGTTACACCAATGTCTTTCCGTAACTTTATTATTCAGTAAAAAAATCAACACCACGTTACCCCAAAGTCTTCCCGTAACTTTATTACTAGTATTTAGTAAAAACATCAACAGCACGTTACCCCAAAGTCTTTCCGTAACTTTATTATTCCGTAAAAAAATCAACACATCTTTACCCCAAAGTCTTTCCGTAATTTTGTTACTAGTATTTAGTAAAAAAAAAATCAATACCACGTTAACCAAAGTGTTTCCGTAACTTTATTATTCAGTAAAATAATCAACACCACGTTACCCCAAAGTCTTTCCGTAACATTACTACCTAGTTTCCTTTTTGTGTGAAATTGTGTTTAGAATTGTACGATCACCCTATTTTAATTAATCGTCTACCGCGATCCATAACATCACTTCCACCTCAGACCCAACATAGTATTTAGGGTCAAAAGTGTTACGAATACTAGTGACCCCTAGAAATTGTCATTTGGTGATTATGTATCGATAAGTACATTTATTTATTTATTTATTTATTTATTTATTTATTTATTTATTTATTTATTTATTTATTTATTTATTTATTTATTTATTTATTTATTTATTTATTTATTTATTTATTTATTTATTTATTTATTTATTTATTTATTTATTTATTTATTTATTTATTTATTTATTTATTTATTTATTTATTTATTTATTTATTTACCTACCGTCCAGCTACTCGTACCCTGCCTACGTGGTTCCACACTATACATGCTTGGTTGTGTTACTCTTTGATTTTACGACCATATTAATATCACTAAATGTGTTGAAATTAAGGGAGGGAGTCAGATCTGGTGCATGTTTTCATGTTTCATCATGAACAGATTGGAAAACGTCGCCAGTCGAGTGTGGACAGGACAAGTTGCTGCGAGATCCTACATGAACATCATTCACTATATAT